GGCAGTATGTCTGAGTGTTGTACCTCAGAGATGACTCCTGAAACAGATGATGTAGTGACCTGCATCCCGTTTGTTGCAAGCAAACCTAACTTCAATTTGACCTCCCGTTAGTCACTGGTTCCACGTCCTGTATCAGCAGATGCAGGGGACAATCCGATTCCTCCCTTAGTCCTCAGGGCAACAGCTGCAGATAATATCGATACGTTCAGACACCAGTACACATAGGTTTTCTGGATATCTATTTGCCCCTATCCTGTTTATTACTCTCTTGGTGTACTAGTAACAAATTAAGCTTTTTTATTTCTTTGCCTCCTGCCCTTGCAAAGGGACGAACTGTCTCCTGGTCCTGTTTCTCTCAGTGATGTCTGAAAGCTGATTAATAACTTTATGGATAGACTGAGCAATATTATTTTGGAGGGGGGAAATAGTGGTGCTTTACCGTGGAAGTCAGTAGTGTTCTTTGCCAAGCAAAGACCCAGTCCAAATCAGGACGTAAGAACCTGCCGAACTGCAGGTAAGTCCTGGTACCACACCTACAGTTTTGTGCTAGCCTAAATATTTTTCAGAATAGACAAAACTGAAGCGTATTTTACTATGTTCTTCTAATTTGAGATCTAAGCCGTTATCCAGTCTGAGCAAAGAGTGTGATCTCTAGTGTCAGAGTTAATACCCCGGTCATTATATGTACCATGTAGGTATCAGCCAAACTTTTTGGTAACCTGAATTTTTAAATGAAAATAATGTTAGAAGACTAAAACTTTTAGTTATGCCAGGTGTTAATAGTAATGTAGCGTAAGTTCTCCTTCATCATGGGTGTGACCAAAAACATAATCTTTGTGTGCCTTTTTCAGGATGCCAAAAGATGCACAATGCCCAACAGTTCACTAGGTGGACATTCATGTCAGGTACATGCAAGGGTTCATTTCTTGGCCATGCTTTTCCATAGGACCCTGCGAAGAGAGGCACACGTTGCCTCCTCCTATACAGTCACTACAAGGCACGTATATACTTGGGACTGCTTGGTGAATCAAAATGTGTCACTGAACCAGAAACAGCCTAGCTAGCATTGGGATTTAACACATGATTTCATATTTCATAGTAGAAACTAGGTGGGTTGGTTAGCACTGACCAGTTCCATCCATGGAAATAAACAGCTGCAAGATCATGACAACAAATTGGTCACCAGCAGACTTGGAAGCCTCTCTACACACATTCATCTTGCGTATACAAACCTTGACCCTATTTGCTGGAGGCTGTGTAAAGCTTGTACTGGGTTCAGCACCGCAGGGTTAGGTGACAGTGGTAATAAAGGATTTAGGTGCCCAAGCTGCAAAGCAGAATTAGCCATCCTGTTTCAGGTTTCCTGTGCAGTACGTGGGGGACATAGGCACCTCCAAAAAGAGTCTGACACAGCCAGCAAAATGTCCTTCAGGAATGATGCAAAGCAATGGACCCTCTGACTTCTCTCAGTGCTGAATAGCTTCCACTCTTAAAAAAATAGTAATAAAGAAAGCACATTTCAGGTACTATCTTCCTCCTCTTGCTTTACCAAACTGGTTAAAAAACCTGTCCAGAAAGTGAAAGATCCAAGTTTGAGTCCGGAGACAGTGAGATAACCCACCAACTCACCTTCTCCCCAGGTGAGAAGCCATGTCCCCCTCCTCACTCCAGTGCCTGTTCCCATGTAGCAGCAGTTCCATGTGTATACAGAAGTGACCTGCAGTTATCTTTGTTGATCCAGGAAAATGCTGCATGTCTTCCATGTGCTGAGCACCTCATCCCTAGCCTAGGCAGTACTTTTTCTTCTTTTTTTAAGTGCTGCGGAGCCTATTTCCCAGGACAAACTTTCTGGGTTAAATCCCTCAAGGAACTGAAGATGCTTTAAGCTGAGACACAAACAAAACACTGAGCTGCGCTGATCATAGGAGGTGTGTAGGGTGCCCTCCACCAATTAGTCAGCTGTTGAATAGGGCTGTAGCAATGGCAACTTTGAATATAAGTGATTACATTTTGCTGAAAGAGTATTGCTAGCACTTAGAAAGAGTACTTACCAGTGAAATGGCTGAAAAATAATTGTGGCTTTGAAAGTTAATACGGGTGTTTGTCCTTCACCAAGCATTTGACACATCTTGACTCAGTATGACATTATTTTGGGCTGGCACTGTTAAAACACAGTGCTGTACACTGTTTCTCTGAAAATACTTTATTTTAGCTTTGTGTGAAAAGTTCAGGAAACCTCAGGAATGGATTTCAACTGATGTCTTACAAAGGATGTCCTTTTACATTTCACTGTGTTAGGCCAGGCTAGACACTCATAACAGCACTGTCTGACCTTAAAACCTCTGATGCAGCTATTCCCTACCCTCGGTGCTAGTATTTGACTCAGCAGTTCAGTTTTGGTCCCAGACTTGTACAAGCGTCATTTCCTTTTAAATTCTTGGCTCAATTGTTGGAGAAGGGTGGAGAGTTTTTGGCTTCTTTGCCATTGTTTGGGCACGTTCAAGCTGATAAAGATCAGTTCTGCTGGGCAAGTTATCAATAGCTCACGTGCTAAAGCTTGAGAATATTGAGCAACTTTTTCCAGACTTACCCTGAGATTAAGTCAGTTAAAAGACTATACATAAAAACCTCAATTGCACATACAAAGGGGAAAGTTTCTTTGATGAAAGCCAGGAATTTAGATCAAAACACAGTTTATTTTCCCAAGGTTGACAGTGAAAGGATAGGGAAAAAAAAAAACCAACCCTGTTTTATTAAGACCAGAAATCCATTTCTTGATCTTAAAAGACTGTTTTTTTGCGAGGGAGGGAAGCTGTGCTGTAATGACAAGATCAGAGAATTCATTTCTTTTTTTTTTTTTTTTTCCTTTTATGCTGAAATTCTTCATAGGAAGAGAAAAAGCATCAGCAAATTAATATAAAAGAAGCCTGGTACAGTATGCAGTCAGTCAAATGTAAGTGCTCCAGAGCTTAGTCTAAATCCTGTGAGCTCTACCTGTACAAGTGGTCCATTGATTTCAGCCATATGATTCTTAATGTAAGCAGACTTTAGCCCCTACTCACTAATAGGAATTTTCTATTTCTGGCAAGAGAAGAGAAGTAGTGGACCCCAAATGGGAAAGCAGAGTACAACTACACCATTAATAAACATTTACCTTGATGTTTGTGACCTTCTGCGTGCTTGAGGGATTAATAAACATATAGGCTATTTGACATCAAGGTAACGTGGAGAGGATCCATTACTTCATCTGTTTTCTAAAGCAAGTCTATTTTGGGCACTGAGCTTTAATTAACCTATAGCAGTGGTAAGCATAAGCTATCTTTTATTAGGCTTCCCTGTGACCCCCGTTGTAAGACTTTCAGACAGGCCAGAGCAGGCGTGGTCCCTTTTGCTGGTGGGTGATTACAGCACCTGTCGGAGCCCAGCCATAAGTATTCAAGGAAGTCCTAGAGATAGGGTCCAATTTCTTTAACAGTGTCTCCAAATATACATTTAAGAGGCTTCCTCCTGTCCTGAAATTTAAGACCCTAAATAGCCAGTGGAAAAAAAAGCATAGTCTTTGTAACTTCAGACTTTATGCTTGCCTGGTTTATTTTTAAGTGATTCTGTGTTGACTATTTTTTTCCAAGCCTGTAACTTTTCAGACAGAAATGTAATTGATGACAGCTATGCTGCTGCGGCTTGGTAATATTTTTTCAAGAAAGAGTTAAAGACATACATGATGTAAGGAAGTGCTGTTCCAACATCAGCCTTGGCCAACAGATGGTGAAACAAACATGATCATCGGATGAGCAAGAGGATAGCAGCAGGGAAAATATGAATAATAGTAAGAAAACACAAATATTAAGTCCATTATTCTGAGAGGCCCTAAATCAGCAAAATATTTGAGCATGGGTTTCAGTTTCATTCATCTGCAACAGGCTTGCTGGGTTATCCTTAAACAGACTTTATCTGTTTTATGTCCTTAAGGTCAAACGCATAACTGACACAAACCATTGTCATTAACTTTCCTGTAATTCTGAGGAAGCTGTTGCATAAAATGGTTAATGTGATTGTCAACAAAAAAGCAATTAGGTAACAGGCTTGTCTGCCTGCCTACATGTTTCTCCATCCTTTGTCTCAAGAATACCAGAGCACCCTCCATGCCAGCCACCTCCTCCACCACCCAGACCTTAGGCTAGAAGATTTCACAGTCAGAGAACCCAAATGTGCAGAAGTTGTCGGAATCAACTGATGTTCTAATGAATTTCTGAGTCCAGGGTGGAGTCTTGGCCCTGTTAAATTAATGCATACTTTTACCACAGACTTAATTTCAATCAGACTTTAGCCCTATACACACATGCTCACATGTGCATATATCTATGTACACAAATGTATGAATAATGCATTTTTGCAATGGTATTGAGAAGACCTTTTAAAGCAGATGTCTGATTATATAAATATAAATTATATATATAGTCAGACATCTGTTTAAAAATATAAATACATTCAGACATCTGTTTTAAGAATGTCTTTCCAATATTTTTGCAAACGTAGCTAAGTGAGAGAAGCAATTCAGGGTGGGATGCGGTCATGACATGGATGGGGGATGAGGAGGGGCTGCCCAGACATTCAGCTGTTCCACTTGCCTGTGACTATACAAAGCAAGTGGTGGCCCAAAAGCCCCTTCTCCAACCCCGCCAGGGTAATATGACAGAGTGTCTCATTCAGCAAGCCTAGGCTGCCAGAATAAGATCCTGACACAGACAGCACCTTCTGTGAGGACATTACAAATAGTAGAGAACATCCCTGGTACATTAAGATGTATTTAAACTTTAGTTTACAGGGAGGAAGTACTGCAAAGAGATGTTAAGTTGGGCAGGGTGATGCAGTAAGTCCCTGACACAGCCAGAAGCACAGGGTGTATCTGCTGATGCTGAGCTCTGTGTTGTAGCCACGCTCACCTCTTAGTCTTCTATCGGCAAGTGGTGGCTCTGCTAACGGTTTCCATGCTTCTTTGCAGATGTATTGTGAGAGGTTTATATGTATCCTGAGAATACTTGGAACCACACTCTTCGGGGTATCCCTCCTGCTGGGAATCACCGCTGCTTACATTGTGGGCTACCAGTTCATCCAAACAGACAACTACTACTTCTCCTTTGGACTCTATGGTGCTATCCTGGCATCACATCTCATCATCCAAAGCCTGTTTGCCTTCCTAGAGCACAGGAAAATGAAGCGGTCGCTGGAGACTCCAATCAAGCTGAACAAAACAGTTGCCCTTTGTATTGCTGCCTATCAAGAGGATCCTGACTACTTAAGAAAATGTTTACTTTCTGTGAAAAGATTGACCTACCCAGGAATTAAAGTTGTTATGGTCATTGATGGGAACTCAGAAGACGACGTTTACATGATGGACATTTTTACTGAAATCATGGGTAGGGACAAATCTGCCACTTATATCTGGAGTAACAACTTCCACGACAAAGGTCCGGGTGAGACGGATGAGTCTCACAGAGAGAGCATGCAACATGTATCTCAGCTGGTCCTGTCCAACAAAAGTGTTTGCATCATGCAGAAATGGGGTGGAAAAAGAGAAGTAATGTACACAGCATTCAAAGCACTGGGAAGAAGCGTGGATTATGTACAGGTAGGTATTAGAGCTCCAGGTCAGTGCCAATTCAAACACACTTTGAAAGAAAGCAGCTTTTGTATATTTTGTGCAGCATGTTAGAGGCCATCCTAGTCCCTGACGAACACAGTGCTCCTTTCAGTCTGTTTGGAAACAGATTGACCGTTAAAAGTGTATTTTGCTACCTTTTAAAATGGTCAGCCTATCCGTGAATATGTTAAATCTGTGCACCAGCTACTGGAGAATTCTGAAATCCTTCCTTAGGCTTCAGTACTGCCCCTTCATCCGAATGGTTTTGCTTCAGACGAAGCCAGTGGCCTCCTGAAGACCCCTTCTCTGCTCCTGTAGGTCAAGATTTTGGTAAGGTTTTATTTTGTGAGGTTGTTAGCAGCCTCGTATGCAAGCAGACAGACAGGTATTGAGTGGCTCTAGGGAATACCTCAGAGCATTGGTGGAGCCTGTAAAAAAAAGGGGATATTTTAAAGTCTTCAAAGGCTGTGCAGGGTATTCAATAAAAGGGTCAATGTGCAGCTTTGAAAAAAAAAAAAAAATTCTTCAGCTAAAGCCTGAAGGAGCTTTTGCTTCATCACTTACAGCTGCATTACCTCACTCACCGCGACTTGGCCTTTAAAGCCCTTATGACACTATTCACTTAAAAATGAGTTAGACTGGGTCCTCTCTCCCTGTTTCCAAAGCAGCAGAGACACATTTCTTTCCAGCTGCCTTGGATCCTGTGAAAGATTTTCTATGGTTTTGCCTTAGACATGAAAGCACTCCTCACTCCTGCAAACAGCCCTGCGGACTGTGGGAAGGGGAAGAGGTAGTGTGTGGAGGAAGGTGAGCGGGATCAGGGTTTCTGGCTGGACACTGAGGATCATTCCTTATCGATCAAGGCCAGCAAGGCTCATTTGACTCATCCCACTGAATGTGAGATGAACTTTTTAATTACCCACCCTCAGCCCCCTCCCTACCTTCTCCTGACCTCAGACCCTCCAGCAGTCTCCGTCAGTTGAGCAGCAGCTCCCTACGAGATGCTCTCTGCTGGCTCAGGGCAGCTGCGCAGCTGAGCCATGTGTGTTTCTGGGGTCCATGCCCAGCCTTGCGCTGGGGTGTGTGTGTGCGCACACTCCGTACAGCACAGCATCCACAGGCACGATGTCCAAGGGATGTGGAGAGGCTGCCAGTAGATGGGCTGAGAGCAGTGAATCCTGCATGCACAGGAGGGGCAGAAACTGAAGAGTTTTTTTCTGTTATTGGAGCTGGAAGAGTAAAGCAAAGGTTTAAAACCCATCCCCTACCACTTCCAAAACCGAAACTGATTTATTCTCTGAAAACAATGGGCTTAAGCTCTCCATTGTCTGCACATTGGTTTTGTGCTGTGAGGGACTATAATGGAATAAAAATGCTGGTTTTTCTTTATTAGCATGGTTTTATAACCACTTTGCACAGAAGTATCAGATTGCAGAGAGAGAAGGCAGAGAGGAAACAGATTCACTGCAACTTTCCTCCCTCAGTCCAGCTCTTGCATTTGTTCAGGGAAGCTGGAAAAAGTATTTCTATTTCAGCACTCATGGCATAAACTGAGAAAATGGAAGAGAACTTTCTGGTCTTTCAGTCAATTAACACTCCTGACCTGGCTCAGAAATCCTGATGAATGTGTCAAGGACTATAACGCTGCTGTAAGCTGCCACCAAAGGCTGCAGCAATGATTAATGCCACAGTCACATCTGCAGTCACATCTATATTAGAAATGCAGCACTTTGGTGGCCCTGGCTACTACACAGTCATGACGCAATGCAGCTAAAATGTGTCTCTGTTTTATGAATGAATGAGGGTTGAGTTGTTTCAAATGGTTCTTTGGGGGTACCCAGGGTAAATTACTTTAAGCAGGCCTGACATTTTAAAGGCTGAGCAGTCTGCACTGATGATGAAGCACTTAAAAAAAGTGGACCAGTCAGCATCATTGCCCACCCCGGAAACTGTGGACCTCATGGTTCTTAAGACAGTTCAGGCAATCATAAGCAGTCAGACTGATGCAGATAATGAGCTGTTGCTCATTAGAGGCATCTCATTAAATACCTGAAACTGCTGTGAAGGCTTATTTTCCTCCTGGAGGAGGTTAGGAGGGTGCAAGCAATCAGATAGAGGAGTTAAACAGTCAGGTATCATCAGTGCAGAGCTAGTCGGGGCAGCCAGAGAGCAGTTCATCTTGGCTTGATGGAGGTACTTGTGTGCACAGTCCAGCGCAGCCTGAACTTCTCGGAGCAGCCTGGATAAACCGCCACTGGTTATAATGTCTGAAGAGCTTGCTTAAGGCCGAGTGTACCTTTCATGCAAGTCTATGACCCAAGGCAGTAATTTTTAGGTCACTCAGCCCTTATGTGAAAAGATGGCAAAATGGCTCTTGGGCGGTGCTGGGCCACCCCTGTCTGGGCAGTCCTCAGGGTGTTTTATTTGGGTTTCTAAGTGTCTGCCTTTCTCTGGACATGTCCTCTTCTCACCTGCAAAAACCTCATCCAGATGGAAAACAACAACTTGTCAGGTTTGTCCCAGAAACTCAGACATGTCCACCATGCTGACATTCCCGGGACACATGCTGGTAATTTGTAAATAAATCCACTGTTTTTAGGATTCCTCATCTCATATTAGTGGTGTTGCTCATGGGCAAGTCTTTCTGCTCTAGATAAATGCTTCTGACGGGGTGGGGGATGGAAAGAAGAGAGGTTGGGGAGTGGGCTGATCCCAGCCCACCACTCATGGTCACAAGAAAAGGGATGGGTACCACTGCCTGAGCCCCGGGTACTCAGCAAACTGCAGATTCCTTGTGCAAAACACTCAGCAACAGGTCTATCCAGGAAGCCCCAAATAGAAATATGAACATCCTTTCCCTTCTTCAGCAGAATTGTTTTGCTCCCTTTCTATCACCAAGTGCTGTCACTGACGATAGCTTTTCACCAAAGTTGGAGGCACCTGGTCTGGCCAGGTTTCAAAGGTGCTCCTCATGATGAGTCCTTTGAGGAGAGGAGCTGGATGCATCAAGTTATCAGGAGCTGGAGATGCTTGTGGCTTTTCTCCTAATGGAAATTTGAGAGCTTTCATCAGCTTTTCCTTTCAACCCCCTCCAAGTGAGTGTGGAGGGGAAGCATGTTGGCAGACACTCAGCTGCACCTGAGCTATGCAGCCCAGCTATCCCAGGTAACTTCCCCACTTGAGTCTGGTCCATAGCGGAGCCCCAAAACGCTCTCCTCACCTTCACAGACCAAACATGAAGGTTTCTGCTCACCTGGAGAAGGAGGCCTTAGGCTGAACTGAAAGGCTGGATGAAAGGACACCAAAATTAGGATACCTGGTATGAAGCCTCATCAGAATCTGTCCTAATAGGTTATTCCTGCAGACCTACTGACTTTTGGCCCTACCGCCCCTGTCTGAAATCACAGGAATGCAATATGGGGAGAAACTGAAAGCAGTATGAGACTTTGTAGGGCAGGATCCAGCCAGCCAGAGGGGTGTTTCTGGGACAGCTTCCTCTGCTCCAGTTTCTGGGCGTTTGCAAAATTAGTTTATACACCATGGGGGCACTGCTTTCAGCAGCAGCTGTGACAAGGAGACACCCGCTTGTTTTAAACAGGCTGCAGCCCGTGTCATTCGCCTCTGAGCAAACGAAAGCAATGCCAGCTGCCTCACAGACCGGCCAGCCTGTCTGAGCCCTCCTCCTACTCTCCGGGGGAAAGCCAATTCCTAATGTACACTGTGTTTAGTTGACTAGAAGTGTTTGTGTGGCTGAAACGCCTTGTGTGTGTCATCTATTTCTGCTGCCCTGGTCTCATGGAGTACTGCACTTTGGGACTTGTTCCTTCTGGCCTTAGATATTTTTTTATAAGAATGCCAGAGGAAAATAGCAAATAATTTCTATATATCAAATGTCAAATCCCTGCACTACTAATAACACACCATGCATCTAAAATTAAAAATGAATATGTTCTGGAATTCAAAATACATATCTTACATGAATTGCTAAAGCCTTCTGTGAGTGAAAGAACTATTAGGTTTCTTCCCAGACTCTTAGCTGAGTTTTTCTTTTTCTTTTTTTATAACAAGTGTCTGGAATTTAACTCGTTGCTCGTTTCCTCTTATGGCAGTGGGAAACATTTAACCAGGGTGCTCCAACCATGCAGCGGCCGCAGGGAAACCCTATTTTTTTGCCACACACCCACATTTATTGTCTTGCTCTGCAATGCCCTGTCTCTGAGAGTGTATCTCTTATTTGAAGAAGCCAGCCCAGTGTGCCAGTAAAACAAATAGAGTTGATACAGAAGAGAGGATTGTTTGCTTGCACAGCACTAATGAGTGTTGTTTCGTTCAGCAGCACTCCTTGCTGCTTGGTACAAATGGCCTTTAAAAGAAGTATCGATGCAGACTCCAAAGTGAGATTTAATTACATTCAGAAGAACATGGATACAGAGTCACTATAATCTCTCACATGGTTTTTATTTGCTTCTCTAGTGTACTTACTCTCTGTCCCATTTTCTTCTTGTTTTGTCTTGCTTACAGGTCTGTGATTCTGATACAATGCTTGATCCAGCCTCATCAGTGGAGATGGTAAAGGTTTTAGAAGAAGATCCAATGGTTGGAGGAGTTGGAGGTGATGTGCAGGTGAGTACGACGATTTTCAGATTAACAGAGGGGTTTCAGCAACTTTTTACACTCCAACAGATTTCCCTGCCTGGAATAGCATTGAATGTATTGTGATACCGTTATAGAGGCTCTTATGATACCTTAACCCTTCTGTCTGTTGAACAAAACCTCATATTCCTGACTGTGATTACTGTATGGTTTTAATACCTATAGAAAGCAAACATATTATTCTCCCCCACATACATGAAAAGTGGGGCACTGCCATTGTCAAGACTGTTGTGGCTTCTTTGAGCCTCTGGGTATAACTGCTTGCTCAGGGTACCAAAGAAAAGCAATAGGGGAGCAAGGAATTGAGAACAGGTCTCCCAAAGCCAAGTCCAACACCCCGAGAACTTCAGTTATGTTACTACTGGCAGCCAAGATTGTTAGGAATACAAGCCTTTGTGAAATGCAGTGCACTATGCAGTCTGTGTATTGATGGGCTTCCTCTGCACATCTGTCAGGCAGGAGGATGGAAAGACCCCAAGTCATCCCCGCTCCACTTTTCTTAGGATTTCCAGCATTGCTGAGCTTGGCTGACAACTACAGCAGAAGGCTGCTAATTCCTTTTAACACAATTGCTTCTGCTGCAATTTGTAAAAGAAAATTCATATGAATATTTCAATTGTCCTTAGGATCGTTCCCCCATACTCAGCACTCAGTTGGGCTTTTATGTGAGACAGAGGAAAAAAGGCTGTCTATATGGGGAAGCACTTAACTAATGAATGCCCCAGTAGAGAGAAGTATTTCAGGCATGTGGCTCTTAACTCCAGAAATTAAGATTCCCACAGAAGCCTGAATATCTCTGTGGCTCTGGACTGACCACAAACCAGGTTTTGCACCCACCCTGCACACGTGAGATGACAGGCACATGTGTGAGTACCATTGGGAAGAGACACTATGGGTCCACTTAGGACAGCAAAGGTTCAAAAGCATCTGCAGAGAAAGGTGGGAAGGACATGGGTCCTCTGGAAGGAAAGGTGGCAGAACTAAGGCTCTGGGCT